TCTCGAACCCTTCCAGCCCGACACAACGTACGAGCCTCACGACCCATTTGACGATAGCGACTTGGAGATTCCCTGTAAGTCCTCTTCCTTCCTTTCCTTCCCTCTCATTCTTCATTCACATCTCTCTCTCTCTCTTCCTCTCTCATTCCAGATCTCCCGTTCATCTACCGCTTCGTCTTCTCCCCCGTCGACCCCCTCGCCTCTGATCGCCTCCAGCTTCGTCGCCTTGCACTCTTCCACCTCACCATAGGCAGTAACCTCCCTATCTGGGACGACGAGCCCGGCCACAGCAACGACAACTCTGGCGACCACTCACGCGCGCACCAGGGCCTGGAGTCACGCGTGGAGTCAGGTGACGACTCGGGTGACGACTCCGACGTCGACATCCCCGAGTTCCCATCCGATGACAGGGAGGACTGGTGAGGGCGGTGTCGCATTCGCATATTGTGTATTATTGTCTGTAGCTGGCTGCTTTGCTCGTCTGTGCTTCGATATCTGTAGTTGTTAAATATACATATTGATATACATTGCATTGTCTCCCGTAACTTCTGCCCCTGCTTGCGTGAGACCATACTGCCGCAGACACTCTGAATTATCGACGTACGTGTCGTATGCACTTCCCTACTCGTGTCAGCCTGGATCGTCCCGGGACGATTCACCTTCGCGTTTCGCTCTTGTTTCATCTGTCTAGTTCATTTACCGCATACACATTAGCTCGACGCCATTCGCACGGGCAACCGTCCAGGGACGGTTGCACCCGCTCATCTGACGTATCTCACACTCAACGGTCTCGAGACGGTTGCACTCACACACCAGCCTTATCGTCCCGGGACGGTCGGGCCACGCTTGTTGACTTCTCATACTTCGCACACCAGTCCTTCGGATCTGTCTTGTCAAATATATATATTCTTCTCTTCTTCTCTTCTTCTCTCTTCTGCCACCGCAGGTTCCCATCCATTGTTCTTATATACATCGCATCCTCCCCCGTTTCCCTCTCTCCCCTCTGTTTCCTTCTCTCCCCTCTGTTTTCCTCTCGCTCCCTCACATCTACTGTCTCCATGCCTCAGCCCGAGCCTTACCCGCACATCCCCGCCGTCGCCGGGTACCTCAACGCGGAGAACATTCGTATGTTCATCGGGGATATCGTCATGGTCACCGTCGGCGTCGCCCAGGTTCGTCCCGTTCGTCTCTGAGCCTCTCACTTTCCTTCACATCCAGTCCTCCCGACAGCGCGCCAGCGATCGCATCATCTGCCCAATTCCGGGCAGGTCATGGTATTGCGTCTGCGTCCATCTCATCCCGGTGCGTATCGCTTCCCCCTCATTCGTCTCTCACTTACGCTCCCTACAGGGTACCGTCATCCCTCCTGGCGTAATGTACTGCCAGCTTTGGGCCACCGTCCTCTCGCCACGTGGACTGCAGCACATCCGCATACGCGAGCTCGATCTCCCTTTCGAGTCCGTCTGTACGTCCTTCCGTTCGTATCTCGTACCCTCCGCCTCACTTACTTGCATCTCTTCTCCGTAGCTCTCTCCCACTTGGCTGCGGACATCGACAGGGCCAACGACCCCGCCGTCATGCAGCTCATCAGCGACTTTCACCCCTCCGTCTGGCGTACGTGCCTTCCTCTTCTATCTTTCGTCCTTCGTCGCTCTTACTTACATCCTCACTTACAGCACTCCTCGACCGCATCCATAACCCGCCCCGTGCAGACATCACACCCCTCGGCCCCGTCGATGCCTACACCCCCCGCTTCCCTCACCAAGACGCTCTCATCCGCAGGCCCGGTATGTTCTTTTCTTGACATTCCTTTCCTCTTCTCCATGCACTAACATCTCCTCCCTTTCCCCTCCAACAGATCTCCCATTCATCTTCGAGTTCAATCTCGTCAGCGCCCACGAGCTCGGCCCCGACCGTCTCCGTCTTCGCCAAGACGCTCTCCGTCTCACCTCCGTCGACAGCCACCTCCCGTCCTGGGAGGTCCCCGATAGCGAGAGCGACGAGGAGTCCGTCTCCGAGATGCTGGGACGCAGGCCAATCGAGGAGGTCAATGACTGAGCGCGGTACTATTACTCTACTTCTCTGCCTGTTTGCTATATGTTTTTATGTACTTTGTAAATAAATACATGAGTTTAACTCTGTCTCTTGACTTGTGGCCTTCCTCGCGTGAAATTATATAGCCACGGACACTCTGAATCGTCCCCGGACGATTCGTATGCTCTTTCTTACATGTACCAGACTCGATCGTCCCGGGACGTTTGCCAGCCTCACTCTGCCCACTTCGCCTACCCAACCGTCTCGGGACGGTCCACCCCTGCTTTTCGCTCTCACTTTGCATGTTCATGTCCGTTTTGATTACGTAATTCTTACCCTAACGTCCTTTGTAGTCTCTCACTACAACCCATTTACTAGTCACACACTACAAAATACCCAGTACTAAGCCTATGCTAAGCCTAACCTATTAGAATTAGACCTCTATGTATTCGTCACCTTCCTTGATACGGACATTATTGTAGCCTTTGCGGACATCCAATTTGGTGAAAACCTTTGCCCCTTGTAGCTTGTCCAAGATTTCGCTGATCAGGGGAATCGGATAGGCATTCTTGACTGTCCATTCATTGAGATACCGGTAGTCTTGGCAAGGCCGTACATCTCCATCCTTCTTGCCTACGAAGAAGAACGGTGATGCCATAGGGGATTTAGACGGTCGGATGTAGCCTTTCGACAAGTTTTCCTTTAAGAATTCGTCCAGTTTCTGCTGCTCTAATGGTGACATGGGATAAAGCTTCTGATTCTTTGGAACGAATCCTTCCTTGAGATCTATTGCATGATCATAAGGTCGTCGTTCAGGGAATCGTTCTGAACTTTTCTTGTCAAAGACGTCCGCGAATTCCTTGTACCGTTCAGGTAATTCCGCTTTGCTTTTGGCTTCCTTCTCAGCTTCCTGAGCCATCCGCATTGCAGGGTTAACCTTCTTGCCAGTGTCCAATTGTCCAGTGATAAACCGTATGAGGAGGTCATCTTCCTCGGCCCTAGTTCGTGCTATCAGGGCGTAGACGTCATCTAACTTGATCTTCCATTTTGGTGTACTTTGGAAGATGGGGTCA